GGAGGGGCAAGCATAGGGTTGGGAGGAGCAAGCAGTGGATTGGGGGAGGCAGACACTGCATGCTCGATACCTAAACGTGAGTGACAGCTGAGAATCGGTGTGCATGTGCAATGTGCATGTTTCTCCTGTCCTGTGCAGTGGCATCCGTTAGGATGAAGTGGAACAAGGGAGAACCGAGGCTGCTAGTAAGGTCTCCAAAGTCTCCGAAGTCACAAGCATGCTCACCTGAGCGAGGTAATCCTGAGGCTTGAGATAGAAGTGGGAGGTGGCATTGGTGTTGCCTGGAGTCAGGAAAGCAATGTCGATGGTGGGGAAGAGGGTGAATGGATCCTCCGTGTCGTCCTCGTTGCTGCATCATTAAGGGGCGGGGTGGGAGTGGGGAGGGAAGGGGGGGGAGGAGGGGAGAGCGGCTGGTTGGAGCGAGGGTCAGGTATGCTGGATGCCTTGTTACATTAAGGACGAGGCTGGGGGCCCGAGCTAAACACCCGTCAGTCACCTTGGCAGCCTGAGTCTTATCTCACGGACCCTACTGAGTTCCACGCTCCCAGGTTGCGGAATAGTTTGGTAGTTCACAGAGCAGAAGGTATGCAAGAACGGAAAAGCTCATCCCACCTTCCTTCTCCTGGCTCTGCATCTGCTCGGCTGCCTGCCAGCACACTGCCGCTTCTGCCCTTGAGGGGCAGGTGTTGCTTCACCTCAGAACGCCAGGTGAGTCCCAAGTAGAGGTTGGATCAGTATGGCTCACCTTGGGGTAGCAGCAAGCAGGCGTGTTATCAGGGAACATTTGAATCAAAGACTGCTTGAGGGGGAGGCAGAGAGCTGGTGCGTCGAGCAATGAGGCGGCACTTGTAAGAGCGGAAAGGTGCACTTTCAACTCCTTGGGGTTGATGGGACCAAGGTTGAAGGCTTACGTGAAGCACGCAAGTCGAAACTCGTTGGAGAAAGTTCCGTCATCGTAGAGTTGTAGACCCGTCAATTCTTGAAGCTGCAATCAGCACAAGCAGATGCACGTGCATAGGAGGGCACAATGAGAAGCGAATGCATGCGGCACATGAGGAGGTAGAGCGGGTGCTCTTACATGGAGGAAACATGTATTTCTAGCATGCCCTGTTGCACTACAGACTATTAAGTCTGTAGCTGCTAAGCCTGAAGGCAGGCCACACACACACACACACATATATGCGTGCCGTGCGTGCGTGCGTGCGTGCGTGCGTGCGTGCGTGCGCATGTGTGTGAAACAAGATTGTTATAACAATGACAATAATGTCACTCCGTCTCCGAGTTCCGAGCTGCAAAGAACCAAGTCCATTCGTTCATGAGCTGTGCTTTGGCTTTTTTAGCTCAACCAAGTGCCCATGTCTCATTCGCCTACATTCAAGCGTCGTAACTTGCATGTGCAGTGCACTTAGGAGTCAACGGGGCAAGGCCATTCCAATTCTAGCAGCACGAGACAGCTCACAGCACAATGCCAATCAGGTCAGCTACACTCAATAGCTTGGCTTGGCCAGGCTTCACAAGGCCTTGGGACAGCCGGGCTCCCAGACAGGCAGGCAGGCAGGCACAGGCACAGGCACAGGCACAGGCACAGGCACACACGCAAGCAGGCAGGCACAGGCAGAGGCCGAGGATAACGTACCCCGTCTAAGAGGCTGATGAGGAGAGGGTAGCGCAGAAGATGCACGAAGGACTCGGGCATGAAGAAGAAACCTGGCTTGATGTCAGCAGGCGCCTCTGAAGGCAGGAAGGACGAGTCCCCTTCTACGTTGGACGGGTCGTCTGTGATGTTGAGTTTGCGCGAGGCCGTGGTGAGTGTGATGTGGCTGTACTGCATTCCGGTCTTTTGTAGCCTGGTGGAGGGATTGCAGCACGGGAAGACGGCACGGGTGGGTGGGTGTGTGTGTGGGTGGGTGGGTAGGTGGGTCGGTGTGTGGGTGGGTGGGTGGGTGGGTGGGTGGGTGGGTGGGTGGGTGGGTGGACGGACGGACGGACGGACGGACGGACGGACGGACGGACGGATGGATGGATGGATGGGTGGGTGGGTGGGTGGGAGGAGGAGACACGAGTGAAGTAGAGAGCGGGCAGAAGGAAGAAGGCTTCTCTTGTGAGAGCACGAGAGGACGTGAGAGCACGAGAGGGAGTGAAAGAACGAGGGGCAGGGAGAGAAAGAGAGCAAGGGGAGACATGGAGCAGGTGCAGGGCTATCATGGTAGAATTACGTTTTGGCGTAGCTGGCGCCGGCAGGGAGGCCGGTGGCTCCGATGGTGAGATGGCTGCTGCCTGTCTGCAGCGGCACCTGGCCATCCCACCCCGTCTCGTTCGTGGGCGTGGCCTCCAAACACAGCGCCACGGTGGTTGGGTCATTAGGGCCAGTGAGTTGCTGCAGGAAAGGACTGTACCACCCCAGCCCCAGCACGCCTCCTGCTGACCACGAGCCGTACATCCACCCCTGCATGCCCCAGTGGCCGAACTGGTACATTCCACAGCTGGGCAGGCAATGGGGAGTGGCAAAGAGGAGAGTGGGGCACAGAATGGAGGGAATGTCGTGAAGGGCGAGAGATACTGAGGGAGGAAGCACGGGAGAGAGGATGGGCAATGCCAAGGAGAGACTCACCCTAGAATGATGGAGCGGTTGACTTCGGTACCGTCAGGTGCAGTGAGGTAGACGGTGTCCTCCATCACATGCCCCACCGACTGAAGGTACGAGTTTGCATCAAAATCAGATTCATAGTAGTCGAGCGGTCCAGCCCATCCACTGTACACGCACAGGGCGTCGTCCCCAGGCAGCCAGCCCGTAGTGTTGATGTAGTTGGGATACCCTTCTGTGCTGCAGCCGTACGTTGTGTCCATGCCCGTTTGGCAGCGCTGGTCGCTGCAGGAGATGTACTTGAGGGTTGTGGAGGAGAGCATGGTGAAGGGCTTGCTAGTGGTGGTCTGCGGGGCGAGAGGAGGGGGCGCGAGGGGAGGGGAAGGAGGGGAACGGCTTGCTTTGGTCGGTATGGAGGGAGAGGGGGAGAGAGATGCCAGATGGGGTGATGGGTGGGGTGGGAGCGGTAAGGGAAAGGGTAAGTGAGGCAAGAAGCAGGATTCATGTGCTGTATCGGTAACAGGAATGAATCGCGACTGGGTTCACACGAGCGTTGTGGGAAGGCAATGGGAGAGAAAGTTAAAATTCGACGCGTGTGGGTTCAGTCAGATGAGAATAAAGGTGATGAAACAGGGGTGAACGTTGAAAGCAGAAGGGTTGGGGACGAGGATATGAGCCAATTGATATGAGCCATGGTTGTGATGTGACTCAATTCTATCCAGCTGAGCACGATGAAGATGGAACAGATAACGAAAGGAGATATAGGCGGGCTAATAGTCCCTCCGTCCACACAATGACAATCTCCAGTTCTCACGCTCGCACTGCACACTCGCTCGCACTCACTCCCACACTCGGTCACATTGAATCCTTCAAACACATTCTGAATCTCTCTCCCACACTCCCAGACCGCCAGCCTGTTGTCCCCCTCGCACTCCCCCGGGAACGTAGCTCGCGGGTGGGTGGGTGGGTGAGCGGAGGGCGGAAGCCAACGCACCCCCTTGCGCATGGAGCCGCAGTGCAGGCAGTCGCAGGGCACAAAGGTGTCGGGCACAGCGAGGTTGAGCGCCATGCTGAATCGCTGCTTCTGCGACCCCAGCTTGAGCGTCACATAGTACGGATACGCGCTGGTGGGGGGTGGGGGCCGGGGGGAGAAACGGGAGAAAGGGAAGAAAGGGGAGAAAGAGGAGTTTACCGAGGAGGGAGATGGAAGGGCGGGGCGGGGTATGTCTTTCGTGAGGGGCTGAGGTACAGGACCATGGGTGACCGAGAGAGGGGTGTTTCGAGAGTGTGAGTGAGAGTGGCGTGCAGCGAGTGGGGCACGGCGGGGCATACGCGAGGGGGATCTTGTTGTTGTTATCAAGGGTGGTGCTGTAGTTGACCATGGTGTTGCCCAGGGTGCCGTTGGCCGTGGAGAGCAGCGTGCTGTCATACGCCATCAGCGGCAGAGGAAAGCCCTTTTTCTGCATGCACGCACGCACGATGCATGCAAGCGACCAGCAACCAGGTCGGTGGGACAGCCCATGTGAGTTGAGACGATTCCTGAGACGCCTCAGAAACAATGGCAAAGGATACGCCATTGTCCGGAAGCAACGAGGCAGGAACTCCGATTCACAGCAGCGGCAGATGGAAGGTTCGCCTGGCGGCAGCAAGTTATAACAAGGTAGCAGCGCGGAAGGCAAGCGGATGGGAAACGAGATACCCGGCATCGCATTGAGAAGCAACGGATCAATGGGTCGCACAGAGCTCAATGGGGTCGCACAGAGCTCAATGGGGTCGCACAGAGCTCAATGGGGTCGCACAGAGCTCAATGGGGTCGCACAGAGCTCAATGGGGTCGCACAGAGCTCAATGGGTCGCCCATTAGCAAGGCTAATGGGCGAATGGCAGGCAGCACGGTCAGATGTCACCTGCCACCGTCCAAAATCGACTGCCTGAAACCACACTACCAGTCTGTAAAGTAGTAGTGGCAGCGTCTGTCTCGTGTGCGCTCACGCACCTGCGATACCCTGCCTGACCTCCCTTTGTCCGTCAAGCCCTTCCCCATGGACTGCGCATGTCACGGATTGTGAGTGAGTGGGGGGGAGGAAGCATGAAGAGATCATGAGAGGACACACGTGGGCGCGCATCACTTGGGTAGACAATAAGACCCGGCAGCAGAGTGGCAGCGGTTAAGTACTGCAAGCTGGTGCACCACACTGTCTCTCCATATGTCCCGCGTCGTTGAGCGAGGCTTTTAGTGATATCGTGATCAAGACAACTCGAGCAGCGACTTCCTGAGAAGGCCCCACCCCTCCCGCCCACCACCCGTTGCTCACGTTGGACCCGAGAATCCGGCGGTGCAGCTCGTCCCTGCTGGGGGCGTCTTCCGCGCGCTGCAGGGGGAAGAAGTGCGCGCCCGCTTCCGCTGCTCGCCTCTTCCACTCAGCGATTGACTCTGCGCCGTCATTGCTCCCCGCGCCCGTCGTTCTGGCCGTCCCCCCTCCGCTACTGCTGCTCGCGGAGGCGCCGTGCTGGCGCTCTCCGGATGCTCTGACCTGCGATCATGATGACTCGCCGTGAGGGCGACGCGGCAAAAAACGGGTGATTTATCACTTTAGAAGATTGCGGAAATCTGTCGGAGCTGCTCAAAGTCAGACGAAATCTGTAGGCCCCGTTCTACAGAATATTAAACGGACGGAATGAAGCTGTTTAACGGCCGTAATGCCAAATTGGAATTCATTGCCACAATGATGCCTTTTGTTCTCGACGCTGTTTGCGGTTTCAAGAGATGATTCCATGCGACTTGGTGCTAGCATTGGACAAGCAGTAACGCCACACGTCGCGCGACTGTACCCAGCAATGCAAATAGTACCAGCATAGATGACCATTGCAGTACCTCAGGTGACTGCGCTTGTCGGCGGTGGGAATTTGCGACATGATCCCCGGCGGGAATGCTACGGGAATGCGGCTGAGCGTCCGCAACGGCTATCTCGGGGCCGTGGCGCGCGTGGATCCGCAATACGGTGAGGGAGAGGAGCAGGAGCGACACGAGCAGGCACGGGGATGCGCCACGGCACGGGAAAACCATGGTTCTAAAGTATACCTAGTAGTAGGAAAAGCTTTGTGTTCGACTGTCACGGAATGCAATGAGAAAAATGCTGGTAGTACTACTATCGGGAGAATTGGTGGCTCGTACTCGAAGTAGAAGCGCCGCTGCGGCGGAGGAATGCGGTGGAGCGGTCCCGGTCCAGCGTACTATCTGAGATAGGTCCGGTTGTGAGGCGACTCGGTCACATGCGGATTCAAGGCTTGTTTAGTTTGGTTCGATCATGGGGACGGTGCTCATGCTCAAGCCTACCTACCCGACGACGACGACGACGACGACATGCGGCGCAGTCAGAGCGAATCATAGACTCCCAGGGCCTGCCTTGCGTGGGCAAATCGGACCGGACCGTACTAGACTCGTACCGCGGGATTTGTGGATTCACAGCCATCCGTCCAAGGCTATGGTCGTGTGTGGATAAGGGCGGCGGCGGCCTAATCCGATTACTCTTTCACTGCCGAGTCGCTCCCGGAACTGTTTAACCCCGGCGGCTTTGGCTATTCCTCACGCCTGATGTAGCATAGGAAAACTTTCAGTTTGTGGCGGTGCCGAAAAACTCGTTGACGCTCGTACAGAACGTAGGTAGCTCGACTTTCACCAGCACACAAGGGATACATGCCACTCTTTACACTGACAATATCAAGGCAGAATATCATCCCTCAAATTTGCACCCGCTCCCACGGGCAGGGGGGGAATAGACGGCACCATCGACTCGAAGGGCTTGGAATAAAACAGTTCAGTACAGCGGTTGGCTTCCAAGAACTGTTCGGTCCAGCGGTTACTTGAATCTGTTGACAAAATGGCATCGCCACAGTTCGTGAGAGATTTAAATAAGCTCATAGTTTCGGGAATATTGTCGCGGAGCCGTTCTCAACTATCGCAAACACAATACTCCCGTCCGAGTAATGGCCGTTCAGATGTATCCACTAAGCTGAGATTTTGCTCAAATTTGCCCAAATTTGCCCAAGTTTGCCCAGGTTCCGCCTTATTCGCCAAATCTGCGCCAAACTGGTTCGTAGGATCCCACGGGCAGGGGAATAGTCGGCACCAACCACGACCACCCACTTTCTCTCTAGACCAACAACGTGGTGCATCCCAAATTGATTGGATTGGTTCGGATCAGCAAGGACCGACCCATAGATCACCTCAACCTCCCGGCTCGGGACGCGATAGGAATTTCCTCGTTTTCTGCACCCACAAATCACGTGCGCACTTTTCATACTGGCTCCCTATCAGCTTTGACAATTGCTCTTACCTCACCAATTGCCGTTTTTACCTGACTAATAAAGACACTCCTCTGTGCACAGTGAGAACCTCTGATTTATACATACCGGTACTACTCCTACCCTCAATTTAGCACTCTTGAACGGTGGTACAGTTGTGCCAGGGTGAATGTGGCTAAAACGGTTGGCTAACAATTTGCACGGGCACTAAAACAAATGGGGAGGCGGATAGACTCCGAGTTAGTGTACGATCGAGCTAGCATGTCTCTGATCTGAATGCAATTTTGTGTTCATCCCCCCCAACCTACTGTCATCAACCCGTTCACCACAGTGACAACTCTACACACATTCCTACTAAAATCCGCTCTCCGCCACCCTCACGATACTCTGAATCTTCGACTGGACGGGGAGCTATGCCTACCGCTGCCCACCCACCCTCTACCACTGCTGCTGAAGCCAGCAGCTGCTACTGATGCCGCCCCAGTCCGCGCACCACCAGCAGCAGCACCCGCAGGCGCAGCAGCAGCAGCAAGTCCGGTGGCAGGCGAGCTTGGCCTGGCAGAGGAGGAAGAGGAGGTCGTGGTGGTGGTTGCAGCAGTGCCAGTTGGGGTTGCTCCTGCTGCTGCTGATGCTGCTGCTGCTCTTGAGCCAGTCGCAGAGCGGAGGAAAGAGGAGATGATGGATGAGGCCTTGCCGCTTGATGCTGATGGTGTTGGTGTTGGTGTGGGGAATCGGGTTAAAAGGAGATGGTGAGGGGAGGAAGGGAACGGAAGCAAGATACAAGAGTTTGGAGACGGTGGGAAAGGAAACAGAACAGCATGCTGCTTTCAAGGTGAAGGCTTAAACAGAATGGCCAAACAAAAGTGGTTGTGCAGAAACATGTACACCCATCAAACCTCCCCCCCGCTTTTACCTCGCTTTTTCTCCATCAACCATTATTACAAATCCCACTTCCCGTATGCAATGCACGGTCCTTACTTGCAACACCCTTAGTCCAGTCAATGCATACAGCCCCATACTGCATCCACGATGCACCCCTCGCCACTCACCATCCAACCAATCTTTCCACTTGCCACTCACCACTCCAAAAACCACTCCATTCACCAGCCACCCCCACCACCCACCCCCTCCACCCACCCGCCCTCAGCACGAGCACCAGGCACCAGACCCACCTTCAGCAAGCCTCAAGGGACTCCTCGAGCGAGCACTCCCCCTCTCAGCCCTCCCTTTCTTCTCCCCTCCTCCTGCAACCGCTGTCATCCCTCCCACACCACCTGCAACTCCCACACCCACTTCCCCCACCGCCCCTCCTTCCCCAACCCCCACAACTCCTGCATTCCCCTCCCTTTCTGCTGCTCCATCTGCTACCGCAACCGCTGCTGTAGCTCTCGTTCCTTCCCCTCCTCCTCCTCCTCCTCCCCCTCCCCCTCCCGCCCTTGCTGCAACTGCAGCAACTCGCCTCCTCTCCTTCGCCTCAGCAGAGGCTCCAGCCATCTGCAGCAGCATCCCTGCAACCACTGACCTCTCCGCCACTCCCCCTCCCACTCCTCGCCCTCCCATTCCCCCTAAGCCACCTCCTAGCGTCTTCCCACCCCCACTGCCATCGTGCCCTCCCATGCCCGCACTCCTCTTGCTGCTGCTGCTGCTGCTTCCACTTCCGGTGCGCCACAGGCCCATGGCTCCAGACCCTGCTCCTCCAGCACCTGCAGCAGAACCAGAAGCAGCAGCGCCAGTGCTGCTGCCCCACCTGCCGCTGTTGCTTCTGTAAACCTTGCCAGGCCCAGCAGCAGCAGCACCACCACCACCACCACCACCTGCGGCTGCTGCTTGTGTGCTGTATGCTGCACGTGGGGAAGGCACGACTGGATGGGAAGCCACATCTGTCGATAGCACCACACTGCTGCTGCTTGTATCTCCGCTCTCCGCTTCCTGCTGCCGCCATTGCTGCTGCTGCTGCTGGTGCAGCTGCAGAGAAGAAACCACTTGATTCGACGCAGGGTGCGAGGGGCTTGCTTGAGGCACAGAGACAGCAGAAGAAGCAGCAGCAGAGGAGGAAGCAGGCGGTTCTATCAAGGCCCCTCCCCCCTCTCCTCCACCACCAACCCTCCACCTCCCTCTCTCCCTCGCTGCAACCGCCACCCCACCTTCCCCTGCGCCTCTGCCTCTTGTGCTGGATACACCTGAACCTGCTGCCGCCACAGCAGCAGCAGCCGCCTGGAGCCTCTGCCTCGCGCCCAGCACAGCTGCCAAACCACCTCCCAGGCTCGAACCCGAACCTGCCCTTGCTGTTGGCGTTGAGGGAGCAGGACCCCCACCACCGCCAGCAGCAGCTGCAGCAGCAGCAGTGGCGGAGGCGGTGGCAGTATGGAGAGATCCAACTGAGCTAGTGTATGCTGCCGAATTTGCAGCAGGTGCACTAATAGCAGCTGGAGCTGCGGCAGCAGCAGCAGCAGCAGAAGCGGAAGCTCCAGCAGCAGCTTGTTTTGGCGTGTAGGTAGCCGCGGCAGCAGAAGCTGGTGCGGGGCGGTAAGCAGCGGTGGAGGCTGATGCGAGTGAGGAGGGGTCCATCTTGAGTGCGGATACCTTCAGCTGCAGGTTCAGAATGCGCTGCTGCAGTGACGGGGAGGGCGATGGGGCAGAGGTAGTTGTAGTTGTGGTGGTTGCAGTGGTGATGCTAGCGGTGGATGTGGTGTTGGTGGCAGCGGTGGCTGAGGATGGGGATGGGGACGGGGAGCCTGATGGTGCGGATGGCAACAAGGAAGATGCAGTCACTGAGGATGGATGGCCTTGCTGCTGCTGCTGCAGTGGCTGCTTGTGGTGATCTGAGCTGGCATGCTCAGTCACAGAATGACTCAGCTCCTTTGGCCCGCCTGTACCGGCGCTACCCACTGCAGCTGCACCAGAAAACATTCCTCCTCCTCCGCCTGCTAGTACTTCTTCCTCTGCTCCTGCTGTTCCTTCCTTGGCTGCTCCTGGTGCTGAGCCGTCAGAGGATTGGACTAGGCCATTGGGGTTGGAGTGTCCCAGAGGGGTCACGGCACATGTGGTAACTGCCGATGTTGCTATGGCAGAAGTGGTAACTGCGAGGAAAGGTAGCAGAGAGGGTTGGGAAGGATGGGAATGCGGGAGCGGAGGGAGGAATGTGAAGGGCTGGCACAGAGAGGTGCAGAGTGCTTGTGAGGTTGCCTGGCGAAGACGAGACAAGTACGAGGAGAGGGATGCTGAGAGGAACGCAGGAAGGGTGGAACCAGCAATAACGCAATAGCTCACACGCCGTAGGGATTTAGGGTATCAGTAACCAACCTAGTGCTTGGTAGAGAGAGCACTCGGGTGGGGTGCTTGAGGGAGGGCTCACCAGAACGTTTGGCAGCAGCAGGATGATGGGCGTGTGAGGCGTGTGGGGCATGAGAGGCATGTGAGGTAGAGAGCACAGTCGATGCTGACACCGTTGCCTTGCGTGCCTCTGAATGTGCCACCACGGATGCACATTATCACAACATTGACACACACACACAGATACGCGCATGCACACACGTTCACGCACACACCCATAAGTGGACACGTTGAGAAAGTAGGGGGTGAGGGAACGGGGAAAGGATAGGAAGGTGCGAGAGACATGGAAAGGAAGGGACTGTCTGAACAAAAATGCTTGAAAAGCTGGAACCCTTCTCACTAGGCTGGTATGACCAGGTTTGGATGGGAGAGGGTTGGGGTGGGGTGGGGCGGGGCGGGGTGGGGGAGAACGGCCAGCTTGGGGCAGCAGGGGGCTGGGGAGATGGGGAAAGAGCAAACTCTTTGGAGGCCAGGGAAGGAGGAGGTGATGCAAAAGAACTGGCAGGCATTGGCGCAGGCAGGCATGGGCGCAGGCAGGCATAGGCTCAGGCACGGGCCCACCTTTGATGAGGTTGTGCAGCCATGCCATATCCGGTGACTGCTGCCCCCCCTGCACCTGCTGCTTCGTGCCCCCGTCCCTTGCGCTGCTAACACCACTCTCCTCCATGCCTCTCCGCTCAGCTTGAGCAGCAGCAGCCGTCGCTGCAGCAGCAGCAGCCGCCCGAGAAGCGTCACCACTGTCAGCATGATCGTTTTCACCAATGTCGATACCGTTCTCATGATTATCACAGGCGAAAGTACCAGAAGCAGCAGCACTGGCACCGGCCGTTTCGAACCATCTGCTCCTCCCGCCACCACCATCGCCACCCACGCGCCCACCAGCACTGCTGCCACCACCGCCACTCCCACTACCCTCCACACCATCAGCGCCAGCACCAACACCATCTCCGCCCATCCCCACCCCTCCACTCGCCCCTCCTCCTCCTCCAAACATCATCACCTCGTTCCATACTGGCCCCTCCACACTCTCACTCACCCCTGACAGGGAGACCAGGGATGCAGATACGGACACAGCAGGAGTGGCACCAGGGGTGGCACCAGGTGTGGCGCCAGGTGTAGCCCCAGGTGTGACTCCAGGTGTAACCCCAGGTGTTACCACTGCTGCTGTTCCCCCACCTGAAGCATCCGAGCCAGCAGCGTGCAAGGAGGTGACTGACGTGGCGATTCCTGATTGGCTCACGCTGGCCCGCTGCATGTAACTCGAGGCAGTACACGCAAAGGCGTTACTGTTACTACCGTGGCTGTTCCGAACGCCACCGCGCTGCATCATCCCCGTGCTTGCACTGTGCGCAGCGTCATTCCCAGTGGTGTTGCAGCTGCTCGAAGTCGTGTTGCTCGCGTGACAAGCCCACAGCACCTCACTCCCGCTGCTGTTACCCGCCCCAGCAGCTGAACCTCCCGCTGCCGCTGCCAGTGCCGCTTTGTTTGCAGCTGCAGCAGCAGCAGCAGCAGCAGCGCCAGGCGCCATACCGGCTCCTCCACCTGCGCCTACTCCCAGCCACCCTCTGGTGGACCGCATGGGCGAGAAGCTCCTGCGTAGCAACGGCTCCCCTGCCCCTCCCCTTCCTCCTCCCCCTCCTATCCCTCCTCCACCTCCCCCTCCTCCTCCTGCTGCTGCTGCTACTGCTGCTGACGGACCAGCATCTCGCCTCCTGGGGCTGCCCAGGATACCAGACAGGGCACGGGCCAGGCCCTTTGTTCCTCCACTCCTCCCACTGCCGTTCGCGCTCCCCTCCTTCCCTCCCTTCCCGTCCCGCGCCTCTTTGCCCTCCTGATCCACCCTTCCGCCCCTCCCTCCGCCCTGCTCAGTAGAAAAACCAACATCTCCTCTTCCCTTGCTCTCTTTCCTCTCCAAACCACCAGCACCAGCACCAGCAGCAGCACCAGCAGCAGCACCAGCACCAGCGCCAGCACCAGAACCAGCAGCACCAGCACCAGCGCTACCAGCATCAGCAGCGTCATCAGCCGAGCCAGCAGCAGGTCGGCTATACAGCCCGTCCAAAGCCCGCTCTCCGCATCCCACCTCTTTCTTCTTCTGCTGCTGCTGCTGCTGCTGCTGCTGCTGTTGCTGCTGCAGCTGCGCTTGCCAGCGCTTCTCCACATCCCCTGCTCCTCCAAACCGCCCAAAGTCTTTATGAACGCCACCCCTGCCACCACCACTCTCTGCCTTCTCCTCCGCCCGTGCTGCCTGTGCCTCCAGCTGAGCCCCCATAGCCAGACACTCCAGACTGACGCTCGGTGAGGGAAGAGGGGAGGTGCTCGGCTGAGGAAGCAGCGGCGAATCTGGCGCGAGAATGGGGGATTCAAACATGGATGTGGCTTGGGGCTGCGAGGCAGCGAGAGATGGGGAGAGCGGAGGGGTGGATGCTACAGGGTGGACCATCCCTGCTCCATCCACTCCCTCCCCGCCTTCGTACATCTTCCCCACCACTCCCTGCTCCCACTCCTTCTCGTCGCTGCTGCTCATTCCAGCAATGGCAGGTGCAGAACCGCTCCCAGCACCACCAGCAGCATCAGCCGGAGGAGGAGCGGGAACAACAGGAGCGTGAGCTTGAGCTTGGGTGTCAACATGGGAAGCAGCCTGGAGCTCATTTGACAACTCAGGGCTCACAGCGCGAGGCAGCGGGAGCGGCAGCGGGAGGGGCAGAGGGACAGGGAGATCAAGCGTGGGCATCTGCTGTCTGAGCATGGACAGCAGCCCTTCCATTTCCAGCGCCCGCAGCTCCATCTGCCGCATCCTCTCTCGCAGCCCCTGTGCCTCGCTCCTCGCGCCCTCCAGCTGCTCCCCCTGCTCCTTCACCCGTGCCTGCAGCCGATCCCTCTCCGCCTCTGCTTCCGCCAACTGCCTCTCTGCCTTTCCTGTGCCGGCGGATGCAGGCGGAGCGTCCCCAGCAGCAGCTGTCACACCTGCTCCTGACCCCAGTGCCATTGCCGCAGTACCACCAGCGGCAGCAGCAGCAGCAGCAGCAGCAGCAGCAGCAGCAGCAGATGGAGTAGCAGAAGGCACAGCAGGCTTGGCCGGCTTGCCCTGGTCGCTGTCAGAGGCTGCGGAGGAGGAGGAGGAGCAGGAAGGGAAGGAGGCGAGGGAGGGGGAGGGGGAAGGGGAGGAGTGCGAGGAGGCGCCTTGTGCCTTGGCTCGAATCTCCTCCTCCAGCTGAGCGACTGGTGCATGCAGGGGGGATGCATGGGTGGGGGGACACGTTCACGGGAACGAATGCAAGGATAGGAGAGGAGAGAGGCGTAGGGAGGAGGACATTGTTATCTGGTCTTCCATTCATTCATTTGAGCGAACGATGCATGCGGGAGCAGGGATCGGGAGTGGACAAGTGTGGCAGGGGAGGGAGTGGGAGAGTAGGGAGTAGAGAGAATGGAAGATGGGATGGAATGGGAAGAGGAGCGAGGGGAGGGATGACGAGGCAAGGGGGATGTGGGTCAGGCAGTGGGGATAAAGAGGGGAATGCTGGGGTAAGCACGCGAATGCAGGCAGATGGTAGGACGGGTGGGCGTTGGATGGAAAAGATAAGGAGAGCAGGAGGGAACAAGGAACGAAGGGAGGAGAAATATTGGAAGGACAGAAGGAGGAGGGAGGAAAGGGAGGAGGAAGCGGAGGAGTGAGAGCGCAGAGAGCAGGCGGGTGACATACTGCGAGCAGCGAGAGCAGCGAGGGCGGACGAGGACGCGGAGCGAGCACCAAGCACAGCCATGGCACTGCCAGCCACGCCCCCCTCTGCTGCTGCCCCGTCCATGAGAATCCCCACTGCTGAAGCAGCACCACCGTCACCAGCAGCAGCGGAACCAGCAGCACTGGCAGCGGTGCCACCAGCAGCAACGGCAGCGGCAGCGGCAGCAGCAGCAGCAGCATGTGTTGTGAACAAACCACAGTCTATGCACCTGCCGTCCTTCCCTTGGACGTCACTGTGACTGCTAGTGCCCCCCCCTTGGCTGCTGCTGTTGCTGCTGCTGCAACTCCCCTCACCGCCGCTGCTCCTGCTGCTGCTACTGCTCCCGAGCAGGTTACCTCCATCGTCCCCATGCTCAAGCCCATCACTATCCCCATCGCCATGCCCACACATGCACACAGATAGCGCACCCAGTCCGGCCCCATCCTTCCTCCCACTCTCTCCTCCCCCTCCCCCTCCCCCTGCCGCCGCTGCTTCTGCTGTCAGGGGCGCAGTGAGGGCGCATGGGGCTTGACTGGCTTCCAGCAGTCGCACGCGCTCCCGCAGCTGGTGCACCTACACAGTGGGGGGGTTTGGGGTTGAGAGGAGTTCGAGAGTTGGAATGTGAGGGCTTGACAAGGGATTGGAATGGGCTGCATTGTGTTTCGTGGCAGTGCTTGAGTCGTCTAAGACGGACGGTAGGTTGGTAGGTAAGTAAGTGGGTAAGTGGTGGGTACTAGGTAGGTATGGCCACAGCTGGGGCATTGGTTTGCAGAACACATAGACATGGGAAGTGTGAGAAAAGGAGGACCACACGAGGAGATTGCAGAAGGGGACCCTAAACACCCACCCACTCCTTCCCCTCACCCCATCGCCTCTCACCTGTCCCCTCAGCCCGGCAGCTGTGACCGCTTCCTGCTGCATGTGCTTCCACTGCCTGTAGCTGCCGCCCACCATGCCCACCACGCGCACAGGCAGCACGGACTGCGGGTGCACCACACTGCGCAGCACCACCGCACCCTCCACCACCCCTCCCACCTCCTCGCACCACCCGCCTATCGCCACCTCCGCTCCCCTTCCGCCTCCCGCCAGAGCCCTCTCCTTCCCCTCTCCCGTTTCCGCCGTCTCCTCCGCACCCCCCTCCGCCTGTGCCCCGCGCGCCTCCTTGCCGTCACCAACAGCAGGAGCGGGCGGAAGGGCGGAGAGGTCTGGCGGCATGCACCACACCTCTGGCTCCTGAAAGTGCCTGCTCCGGTCCATGGGGGGTTGGGGGACGGGGGGTGTGGGGAGAGGGGAGGAGACGTGTGGGTTTTGAAGAGAGGGGGTGAGAAGGGAGAAAGAGTAAGGAGTATAGGAAGCGGGGGTTCTAGGCTGGGAAATGAGAGACAGAGATGCATGCGCACGAGCGCGCGCGCGCACACACACACACACTCACACACAGAGTCCACGCGAGCAGCGTACCATCCAGCGAAGTAGTGGCATTCGTCCGCGCTGCTAGCGGCCGACAGGCACCGGCCGTCAGCGGCCAGGGACCGCAGCCCCACGCGACCCCCTCCGAAGCAAACCAGCAAGAACAGACTCTCCACGGGCCACGCCCCGCCAATCCCGCCGCCATTCAAGGAGCCCGCGCCGCCGTGTAACGCACCGTCGCCGCCGCGGCCGCCGCCAGCATCTGCACAGAGACCGTCAGTGCCACCACTATTAGCCGCCGCTGCCGGCGTAGCTGCCGCCGCGGCCTGCACATCTCCGTTGCAGGGCCCCGCGCCGTCGCTCGCGGCGCCTGATCCGGCGCCTGCCGGCTCCGTGCTCGGATCGACCGTTCCGAGCTCCCAGCGGCCGTTGGATTCGACGGCTGCCAGCAGCTTGCTGCCCAGCGCGAGCGCGACGATGGACCCGTGGCGCAGCACCGCGCTTCCGGGCTCGCGCGTCCTCCATAAACGCGTCTTCGCTGCCATTCGATACAGGCCAGTAGCGTGGATGTTGCTTCCGCTCCCCGTTTCCGCCCCCGCAGCCTCCGCCATCGCAACTGCAAGATCCCCGCTCGCGCGTGCTGGCGCCGCAGCCGCCGCCGCTGCTGCTGCTGCTCCCGGCGCGGAAGCGGAAGCGGACGGTATCCGCCCCGAAGCGGGTTGTGCCGACATGCCTGCCGCGATTCCCGCTGCGACTCCCCCAATCCCTTCCGCGCTAGATCGTAGACCTCCCGCCCCCACAGTTCCTCTGCCAATCCCAGGCATTCCCCCTGTTGCGCCTGCCCCTAAGCTGGCTCTCCCTATCCCCGCCACCGCGCCGGCGCGGTCTGTTCCTCCGCCTTCTCCCCCTTCGCGCCCGATTCTGGTTCCCGCACCAGCCGGCGCCGCGCCCGCTGGTGTTCCGTCCCCGTCAGCGCACCTGTCCTTCCGCTCCACCTTCCGCTGACTCCCCGCGCTGCTGCACGCGAATTCGTCCCCCGCAAACGAGCGCAAGTCCGCCATGTCCGCATCCGGCCTCCCCGTGGCTGCGGCGGAAGCGGGAGACGCGCAAACCGCCCCGCCTCCCGCAGACCCGTCATTCGTCCACCGCCGGTTGTGCTGCTGCTGCTGCTGCTGCTGCCCGCTAGAAAAGCTCCCTTTCCCCCTCCCCATTCCGCCGCTTTCCCCCAGCGCAGCTGTCACAGTCCTCATTGCGCCAATCCCCCCCCCATCCCTCACTCCACTGCCTGTTTCCCCCGCGCCTCCGCTCAAGCCGCGCATAACCCCTCCGCCCATGCCTCCCGACCACTCCCCTTCCGCGGACCGTTCCACACGGTCACCGGGGAGCACGGGGCTGGCGGGGCGGGGAGTGCGGACGGGCGCAGGTGCGACGTTATGAAGCTGCGTTGCGGGGGCAAGAGCAGGGTTTACGGGCGGCGCGGAAGGTAGGGAGATTCCACGCGGTTCCGCGCCTGGGAACAGCTGGCGGCGCGAATCCGGCGTTCCGCTTCTGCTTCCCCGTGCGGTCACCGGCGCAGCGGCGCTCTCCGCAGCTGCTGCCGCCGCAACCGCCGCCGTTGCTGCCGCTACAAGAGCGGAGGACGACGAAGCTGCTGTTGCCGATGCGGATGTGATAGGTCCCGGTGGTATTGGCCCCGACGGCTGTCCCGCATCCAAACTACGGTCACCGTATCTCACCTCTCCGAATCCGCTTCCTACGCCGCCTCCCCCGCCATAAACCCCGGACCTGCCGAAGCTGGGCAGCAGGCTCGCAATGGAGCTTCGGGGCGTGACGCGCGGAGAGCTGTGCCTGGGGCTCGTCAGGTTGAGGGACGGAATGGAGATTGGGGAAGGGAGGGTGTAACGCTGCGAATGCTTGTTCGCGGCAGTCGCGGAGATGGATCGGGAGGGAGAGGCGGAGGAGAGGGAAGGAGAGGAGGGTCGATGGTTGGACGAGGAGGTTCCGAAAAGAGGCGGCGGCGGAACTATTTGATGTGATGGCGCGGTGTAGGCGGAAGGCCCGGCCGACAACCCCGCGGAGTGCGCAGGTGGGTGCGCGGAGAAGGAGGGTGCGGCATAGGAACGCGATGGGGAGGGAGCACGACGAGAGGCCGACGAGAGGGAAACGCGGGAAGTTCCGGGAGATGCGGAGCGCGAGGGGCCCATGGCGGCGGGCTCTTATGGAGGAACGGGTCTGAGAGAGTATTTGCTGTACGCAGCACCGACGGGCGCGTTCGTACTACCCGCGAGTTTCAGGCTACAGGAGGATACGAGACGACAACTACAACTGCCACCAGTTGGTCACCCCCCCGCGAATCTATAGGCGTTGTTCTACCTAGGCGGAAGAGGAGGAGCGTCAGGGAATCACGCGCTGACGAAAGGATTGGAGGATGTCCCTAATTCAGTTGCCTAGTTAGTGTGAAAAATCCGCTTTGATGAGAGGCAAATGAGAAGACTCGATTTACTCTACTGTGTGCTGTCGCACTGCCCAAACTGGCTCGACACATCCAATCTACGCGGCCACCATAACTCACATCTGATTTCCTACGGCATTGACAGACTATTCTGTCGGACGCGACTCGGGAATGAATGGTCCAACTGACCATCTCGAGGGTGGAGAGAGGAAGAAGGAAGGAAAGCCCTACGTAGCCTTTGTCTCAAGGTAGCCTTTTGCAGAGTAGTATTTCTGATCAGTGAGGAAGCTCGCGCAACTTCCTAAGTAGCTCGACCTCTGCATAGGACCGAGCCGGGACGAATTTAGACGACACTGTGCTCAGGTTTGGCTTGTCGAAGGAGCTGGGGACAGGTGGTGCATGGGTGTGCGACACTTTTCTTTGATCCTGAGCTGGGTGCGCTGGCGTTTAGGAGCAACAACAGTCGGATGACTGCCCACGGGGTGAAATGTCGCACTACAGCAGATTGCTTCAACAGTGCGCGGCACACCATGTACAGGTCATTACGTAACGGCGTGAGATACGGTACAGAAATCAAACGCTGAGAATCTAACCTCCAAAATAACGGTTGAAAGCGGTTAGGCGTGCTCGGCTGCGTTTCA